TACAGGGGGTGAAAAGGGATGTATCTAATTGGCCGAAATGAGGGTGAATTCAGAAGGAAAGTAGAATGGATGGGTATTGATCTAAAATAGAGACTAGAACAGTAGGGGGTACAGTGTATTTGCTCTGACATACATTCTGCACCGTATATTTGGTCAGTCATTTCATATATATCTACGAGAACTTGTCCTGACTTTAATAAAAATAATGTTTTCATTCAGCCCTGTACATAAATATCAATATGATATGTGATGAAAAACAATGAAATGGACCAAAAACTTGACAAAATTGAATTGTTCTGAAATGATTCTTGAAAACCATCCTTTCAGCTGTTCCTTTTTGGATTATCTTTGTATTGTTATTTTAGGGTTTTTATTAGGGATGCACCGATATAGATACTAGCATCGGTACCAAGTATTTGGGCGAGAACTCGTACTCGCCCAAATGCTCCGATACTTATCCTGATACCGGAACTTCCGATACTAATACCGGAAGTGCCACAAGGGAACATGGAGCCGGCTTCTTAGCCAATCAGGAAGTCGGGCCGCGGGTATTGACTCATGGGTCGGCTTCCTGAGAGGCCAGGAAGCCGTCTCAATGGTGTTTGGCCGACGCGATGCTGATTGGCTGGGAAGCCAGCTTCCCAGCCAATCAACATCGAGCCAGCCAAACTGCATTGAGCCAGCTTCCCGGTCAATCAGTATTGTAGTAATTTATTTTATTTTTAGTAATGTATGCATTTTAGATGTTCAGTCATTTATTATTTGATTTGTGGGTAGCAGTAAGGCAACTCCAGCCTCACAATTTAATTAAAGCTCTTTGTTATAATACCTCTATTGAAATGCAGCCTTCCTTTATTATTTTACACTTTTATGCTGCACACATAAGGGCTGCAGATCTGCATTTAGGCCCACCTGCATTTGGGTCCCCCCCCCTTCCCCAGTGTAGAGCCCTGTAACACAAGTGGGTGTTACATAGACCCACTTCCTTGAGTGACACCTGCAACTCAATGCTGCAGCGATGATAGAAAGCTCTGTGCTTCTCTGTAATTTCCCAATCAGCAACTGTCAAGCCTGCCAACTGTATTCCTGCCTACCAGTATCCTCCTACTGCATTATGGCAGTGTATGTCTACATTTAGTTGGAGTGCACGTAGGTAGGGCACCCTGCTTAGTCCTCCCCCCAGGGGCCGCAGGAGTGGGATCTGATCAGACCCGGTAATGACATCACAGGGTTTGAAATTTGTATATTTTACATAAATGCAGCAAGGTTAGTAATAATAAAAAGAAAAAAAACATATATTTATATATTTATACTGTGTGCGTGTGTGTGTGTGTGTGTGTGTGTGTGTATGTATGTGTGTGTGTGTATTCGAAAATGAATGTCCCCTTTAAGAGGGCTTATACAGGCAGTCACCCACCGGGTTACGGACAATCCGTACTTACGAACCGGGTCCACAGTTCTCCTAAATGTACTGGCAGCTGCCGGTACATTTAGGAGAACTGTTGCTGCAGTGGCCTGTGTCCCTTTAAATCCCCACTGCTCTCCGCGCCTGTGTTGGCGGAGACAGCAGGGGAACAGACCGATGCATGCCTTCGCTGCCCCCCCTGCCGTCGCTGCCCCCCCTGCCGTCGCTGCCCCCCGTACCTCCGCTGCTGTTCCGGCCTCCGGTCCCCTGGTCCATCAGCTTCTTCTCCGGTCTGGCCGCGGCTCCTCTGCCACGCCCCCCCGCCTCCTCTTCATTGCAGGCTGGGAGCCATACCCAGCCTGCTATTGGATATTGTAAAATGCAATAGCTAATAGCAAGCTGGCTATTGCACCTGCCTGCTGTCAATCAGAACTGCCTGCCTGCTGTCAAAGAGAACTTTCTCCTTCAGGCCCCTCCTCTGCTGAGCCCTGATTGGGCAAAGTCTTGCACCTGACCTGAGGTCAGGTGCAAGACTTTAACAAATCAGAGCTTCAGTGGGCAATTTGCATTATGGAATGTCCGCGGTCGAACAAACCACAAACATCCCATAAGGTTCGGCGAGCGCTCGAACTGCTGATGTTTGAATCGAACTCATGTTCCAATCTAACATTCGGCTCATCCCTATTTATATAGTGATGTTTGGGGAAATTGGCACATAAGGATGGTAGCCCACTTTTATGGATACAAAAGTTCACAAATCCATCTTGGATACCCTTGCAGGTTTAGCCTCCTTTCTTCCACTTTAAACATTAACATTTCTGAGCCACCGGTCCTCTCTGTAGTGCTGTCCCGCACATGTACTGGCGGTCCCATAGGCTCACGGCTCTCCCAGCCTCACCAGCCTCCCTGGCTGTCTTCGTGTGCCTCCAGCACACATACCACCAACTCCACTTTGACTTCTGGGGGAGCCCTCCTGACCCTTGAACACAGTCTGTTCCCATTTCCCAGCAGAAGCTAATTCCCCTAGGCAGCATGTACTTCACTCTTCTTGGGGCTTTGCTGTTCAGGCATAAAATATTATCACACAAAAGTGGAGCAAGTCCTCAGGCTTGTGTAAGCTTCAAATGGTAGCTTACAGCTGACAAAGGCTTAAATCCCCCTTCCTCTGGTGACCGGACAGAGTGATGAGGCAGCAAAGAGAAGATAAGTTCGTACAGCTAATCAGGCTGCTATAAAGTATACTTGTTGCTTTGCCCAATTGGGAAAAGCACAGATTCCATTTTTTGGTCACTACTGCTGTGTCTTTGTCATTGTAAACCATATATGTATTCTTTCCTAATTTTGAATATGCTTGATGCTCCTCGTGTTCAGCTGTGGCCAATTTACAGGAAACATCTAATACTAAAGTACTAAACTGCCTGCTGTGCCTCTTTTCTGCCCTTTGGACTTTTGCAGTCCATTGAAGAACCTTTAATTACTGCATACTTTTTTTTTTTCATGAAGCACACCTCAATCTACAGTATGTGTATTGTGGTGCTCTGCAGGGTGGGTCTGTTGGCACCTACTGTATTTGTCTGTTCCAGTGCCGTTATAAATAAATGGTACTGCAAGGCACAGCACATAGATTAAGTTATCATTTACATGATATAGGTGGAGAACTAGAAACCTCAAGGCCCCAGTGCAAGAAACCATGAAGGGGCTGCCGGGGAGGCAATGTCGGCACCTCGGCGGTTACTGGAGACGGGCCCTCTTCTTCCTTCCTGGGCCAGAACACCAAAGCCCAGTTGCACAAATGCCACCGCTGCAACCCTGGTAGTTCCACCATTGATATGTATGAAAAACACATATAAGACATATGGAATACAATAAATTGACCCAGTTGTCATCAGGAAAAAAAGCCCACAGTATTGTTTGTATGCACTTACTGGAAGATGGAGATGAGAGGTAACCACAGAGTGACGTAACCACTATGAGAGAACCGAAGAAGAATCCTCCTCCGCTCCATGCCAGTAATTTTACAGTTACTTCATCTGCCCCCACCAGCAGACACAGTCGCTCTCACCATTAAAATTTCCTGACATGCCGGCAAGTGGGTACTACTAGTGATTGCAGCCTAGGGAACGCCCACAACCTCAGAAAACCCTGCCCAGTACATTGTACAGCTCGCTCACTCCTTACCACTACCACAACACCGGCATGCCATGCCCACACCCTCCTGCTTCATCTCATTCTGAGCCGTCTAATGGTGAAATGTCTCTGGCTGCTCAGAATGTCAGTCAAGCGGACACGTTTGCCCGTCAGGTCACATCACTGAAGATGAGATTCTGAGGATATTTTTCAGAATAACCATTGTCACTTTCCTCATCCTCTGCCCATATTGCCTACTGTATCTGTTTTGCTACATAGTAATTGAATATCTCCTGTGAACTTTGAGCAAGGTCATCTTTATTTTTTTATTATTTTGAATAGTACATTCCTTTGTGCTACAGCACTGCGTGTGTATATATATATTTATATGTATATATATATATATATATATACACACAGTTTATGCTTACATCAGAACATATCAACAGCATAAAAATAAATAATATAACGATGTGGAGGAAGGTTTGCTTTAGGGCCTGTTCACACCATATGCAGTGCGTTCCGGCCACGTTCAGGCCAGAACGCACTGCATTGCATTGTGGCCGGCTCACTTTTTTGCCCTCCGGCCGCAATGCGATAGCCCGCACGGGATCGCAGGGCCCATTGTGCCTGTGCTCCGGTTCGGTCAAAATGCTGCAAGCACTATTTTGATATTTTGACCGCACTGGACCGGACCGCAGGCACAATGTGCCTTGTGATCCCGTGCGGGCGATCGAATTGCGGCCAGACATTGCCATTCACTTCAATGGCCAGCCACGCCCCCTCCGGCCCCACGACATACTGAGCCGGCCGCAATGCGATGCAGTGCGTTCCGGCTGGACGTGGCCGGAATGCACTGCATATGGTGTGAACAGGCACTTGAAGTAATATTTTCTTAAAAAACTGAAATAATATATATAGGGCCTTATGTATCAACATTATCTTACTTATTTTTAAAAAAACAAAAATATTTCCCACAGCGACCAAAATTAAAGTTTAACATTATCAAGGCAAGAGGATACAACTACAGTTCTTATGTTCTTATAACAACACATTGATGCATCTGGGGGTTAGGTTGTGTGGCAGCGGGTGCTGCTGAGTGGTGGGGGGTGGTGTCGATGGGTACTACTGATAGTGCTGGTGGTAGGTGCTTTGGGGTGGATGCGGTGGTGTGGACGGCTGTGTTACATAAACAGAGAGCCGTGCTGTGAGCGGCTCTCTGTTCTGTCCTGCCCAGCTCACTGACCTCACTCACTGGTTGCCAGAAGCTTGATGGGACACCAGCCAGAGTGTCCTCTCAGCTCTCTGGCGAGCGATGACGTCAGTGAGCTGGACAGGAAGCCAGACAGAGTGTCACAGGTTGCTCTGAGCAACCAGGGATGCTGTGCCACTCCGCCACCCCCCTAAATAGATGCTGCCTCATAATAGGGACAGCCATGATTGAACCCATAAGTGTGCAATCTTGCAGTTAGGCTGGAGCCACTTGATTGGTTTTAGGAGCTGCTTGAATTTCAGCTGGAACAATCATAGATGCACTGTCCTCTTCTGGTGTCAATAAGTCAATGTGGCCGCATGTCAAGCACTGAACAGCACAATGGCGGAACTGAAAGAAAGAAAAATTAAATATTATGTAAACGTTGTCATTGTTTTGTTGTCTATGACTGTTGTGATCACTGCGTTAAAAACCTTCCAGTGTTCTGAATGCATTAAATAATTATAACACTAATGCCTATGGGCAGCATGGTGGCTAAATGGTTAGTTCTCTTACCAACCACACAAGTTTATTTTCCATCAGGGGCACAGTAAAGGAGCTCAGTATTGTTTGCTAAAAAACAGACAGGTAGAATAATAAGCTTTTACTCACACATGCATGTGTGTGCACGTGACTAACTTGCATGACCAGGGTAGAATTAGCTAGTGAGATCCTTTTGGAGGCAGGAATTAATGCGACCATCTATGTACTCTGTAAAGTGCTGCAGACTATGTTGGTGCTATACAAATAAATAAACTTAAAAAATTATTTAAAGAGTATATCTTGATTGTTTTCTGCGTGATGTATTTGTTGATCATAATCAGGATTAATGAAAATTATTTAATCAATGTTTTTAGTCAGGTAACTATGGAAATGTCCATGTAAATATGTTGCTTTCTTCTGAGCCAGCAGTTGAAGCAATAAACTCAGTTTCACATATGCTAGGCTTGCACATTGCTGTAAAGACTATTGTTTACGAAATTCAATAGCTCAAGCTGAAATTCACATTCAGCTTCAAATGCTCCCTGTGATTCATCCCTTATGGAGGACTCATTCGAAGTTTCAGTCAGAAAAATGAAAGGGGTGAAATTGTCATGCATGCTGGAGAGGGGGATTTGTAATACTGACAGGGTTATTCACAAAAGGGTGAAGAGTTTGGAGAATGCAGGAGAAGTGAACAATCTAGGACAACATAGCTGTACTGGAAAGTGAGCTGTATTGGAGAATGTTTCCAAATTTGCTATTTTGGCCTAGATTGTTCACTTCTCCTGCCTTCTCCAAAACTCTTCACCCTTTTGTGAAAAATGCTGTGAATGTTTGAATGCTTATACCTGATATGCTTTCAAAGCACTCTCTAAAGTAAGTTGTTTATTGAGTTATTGAGTGTCATTTTAAAGTATTTTTTTAAAACAGGAGGCAAAAAAGGGGTCATAGCTAGCTCTAGATACATGCACCTAGTAAAGTGGCCATAGAATGTATATGATCAAAGTAATTCTATCAACAATGAGTTCCATTTAATCTGCTTGGCCAATATGGTCCAACATTATCATATTTGTGAAAAAAAGGAAGTATTAATCTACTTCTCTTTGCTAAGATCTATGTAAGCACAGCACTAAATCTTTACCTGTTTATTTAAAAATATGTAGATAATTGGGTTGTAGACCGGGCTGGTCTTGGCAAAGTATGTAGGCAGAGTTGCAGCAAGAGGAGGAATGTAGAGTGTTGGATTAATGACGACAATAAGAGCAAAAATGGTGTATGGAAGCCAGCAGATTAGAAAAGCAATAACCATAAACAACACCATAACCACAACCCGGAGCTCTTCTTCTCTGTTAGTTCTTCCTCCTTGCTCCTCAATTTTCCTGTTTAGCTTAAGAAATACAAACGCAATAAAAATAAAATTGATTCAAACTTCTACTGAAACAGACAAAAAAAGCATTATCAAAAAAGTCATATTGTTGGAAACATGTATTTCTTATCTAAAGGATCAGAATGTCCTACAATTATATTTTTATAGGTCATAGTCATTTATAATTTGTCTTTTTGGAATAGATTGATGTCTTTTTAACTGCCGTAAAAAGCTCATTCAACAGTCGCGGTGAAATCTATTTTTATCATCCTTAATGGCAAAAACCTTTCATTTAGATTTGGAGACAGCAGAGAAGGGTTGGAACCTCTGTTTGGGTTTTGTTGCTATCTGTAATCTATTGGAGAGATTCTTCCCACTTTCTGCAAGATCAGCACAGTGGCATATACTGTATAGCATTGCTGACACCCAGGGTGGATTATTTTTTAACAAAACCCCCTTCCCCACGCTCCTCTATTTGTCAAAACTATTTTTCATAGTAATAATGAAATAAAATGAATATTAATAAAGCGCAGAATGAAGCAGTATGAAATAGGAACTCTACAGTGCAGCATTTAGAACGAGGCATTGTGGAATAGGGAATGTACAGTGCAGCTTGCAGAATAAACCTGTGTGGAATAGGGAATGTACAGTGTAGCATACAGAATGAGACGGTATGGAATACGGAAGGACTGATGTGAATGTGCAGTATGTAAAGTGCTGCATGAATTTTCAGCACTAAATAAATATCAATAATAAATAATGTGTAGGACTTAACATTTTTGAAAGAGGTGCTATATTGTGCACCCTGGGCAGGCCTGAATAGTAAAGATCATTAAGGAGTTGTGGAGGGGCTTTAAGAAAGATAACAGTACTATGTACCCTTTTTTGATGTATGGAATTTCTATGTGCTGACTTTTATTAAAAGCAAAAGGTTATCAGTACAACATGGTGATGAAAATTTACCTTATGCAATGACTGGAGTATGCTTCCATATGAAAATCCAATAATGGCTACAGGAATAACGAAGCATGTCAGAAAGTATGTAACCAGATAGCTGTAGTTACTCCAGGATCTCTCTTCCCATCCAATGGAGCAAGAGGTTTGAACACCTTCAGGACCATAAGAACTCCAGCCAAATAGAGGTGCTATTGCCCAAATCAGACAGAACAGCCAAATAAACGCGAGTCCTTGGTAACCTCTTTGTGCGCTGAGCTTCAGAGCTCCAGCTGGCTCACACACCACATTGTATCTCTCATAGGCTAAGATGGTCAGAGACCAAAGTGATACTATTCCTACAACAGAAGAGAAATATATGACATAACCGATCTAGCTTTATGCTTGCTTGTTGGGTAAATAGTTGGAAATCTGTAATTGACAAGGCTGCACAATACATGACTTATTTAATTTAATTTAAAGAAAACAAGAAATGTTTACCAGGAACATAATTCTTGTGTTTTTCATATTATGAGCTTACCATTATGTTATAAGAAATTGAGCAATAGTCATTTGTAAATTTACCACAAGAGGGAGCAGAATCAAAAGGTTTGCATGACGAATAGTGCATTGTACTGTACATCCAAACACCTTACATTTTACATACTGGAATTATGTTTAATGTCTGTCTTTTAGCTGTATTGATTTTTATTCCTTTTTATAGAATAATTATGTCCTAGTTGATAATTTGTTGTTTAGGAAATATAAGGTTAGGTATCCGTGATTTATATGGGTTTGAGGGAATGCATAAAAATACAGTACAGAGAAAATTGAACTGCTAAATTGTTTCCTACATATAAGGAAGGTTTGCAATTATTGACATTTGACTCCCAGTCCCTATTAAGAAACTTTGCCTCTATTCTGTTCCTATTATGGTGACAATTCAAAATATTGGATTTGCCCCCACTTTTAGTCCCAGTGCCAATGGTCATCAGGACAAATAGAGAGGGTGAATCTCCTTAGCACAGACATAAACAGCAATAAAAATGTTAAAGGGTTACTCATCCTTAAAGGCCCCATTCTATTAAAAAATGGCTTTAGATACACTTTAAACTCTGCACAAATGGAATAACGTATTTTACAATATAACATATAATAACAAAAGTAAATATTACTGCAATAATATTAGTAATAATAATACACTTTCTAGTACTAAAGAAATCTTACCAAAATAGTTGACGGCAAAGCCCTGGAAGATACAGAATTTTTCGCCCAGGTAAAAATAGCCATGGTAATTGGTGCTAATCACTATGGTTGTCCCACACAGTGTCATTAACAGATCAGAAAATGAGAGGTTGAGGATAAAAATATTAATAGGATTGCGGAGTTGAGGGTATTTCATAGTCACCAAAATGACCAACAAATTATTAAAAATTGAAAAGACAGCATTTAGAAACATTAAGAATGCCAAGATGCTATAGCCAGATCTGTGGAATATGGTGGGCTTAGCAGTGAAATTCTCACTGAGCTCAGTTGTAGTCATAGCAGGTTCCATACTGATACAGTATAAGCTTGCTCACTTTCGGATAGCTACTGGCTCACTATCCTCTGTATTATATCCGCAAATATTCTTGTCTCTTGTCTATCATGTTTCAATCTGTGAAACTGCTTTTACATGTATTATTTTGTGACGGATAAAGGATAAATACATCTTTTAATTAAAGTAGCAGCTGTTCCTATAAGCTTGACTTTATATATACATACTTATTAGAATGGAGACTTAATCTGATTATTTTCATCTGAGCAAGGGACAAAATTATCCACAGTGATATTTTACTTTTCATTTCAGCATCATATATATCATTGCTCTGCTAAATATTCTTGCGTTATTGTAAAAATATGGTATAATATCTTTCGGGTGTGTATCAGATTGTTAATACTCCTCCATGGTCCCACTGATATCAGCACTATATGGCAAAAAGTATGTGGACAGCTGAGAAGCAAGAAGAAGAAGCAAAGAAGAACAAAGAAGCAAGCAAATTTTGTTTGCCTGATGAAGGGGCCGTACAGGTTCCCAAATGTTGCCATGCATGGTGATATGCACTCTGGACTCTAGAGAAGTGGAGACGTGTTCTCTGGAGTGACGAATCACGCTTCTCTGTCTGGTAATCCAATGGACGTGTCTGGGTTTGGTGGTTGCCAGGAGAACGAGAACGGTACTTGACTGACTGCATTGTGCCAAGTGTAAAGTTTGGTGGAGGTGGGATTATGGTGTGGGGTTGTTTTTCAGGGGTTGGGCTTGACCTCTTAGTTCCTGTGAAGGGAACTTTTAAGGCATCAGCATACCAAGACATTTTGGACAATTTCATGCTCCCATCTTTGTTTGGCCCCTTCCTGTTCCAACATGACTGCGCACCAGTGCACAAAGCAATGTCCATAAAAAGATGGATGAACGAGTTTGGGGTGGAGGAACTTGACTGGCCTGGACAGAGTCCTGACATCAACCCGATTTAGCACCTTTGCGATGAATTAGAGCGAAGACTGCGAGCCAGGCCTTCTTGTCCAACATCAGTACCTGACCTCACAAATGCGGTTCTGGAAGAATGGTCAAACATGCCCATAGACACACTACTAAACCTTGTGGACGCCTTCCCAGAAGAGTTGAAGCTGTTATAGCTGCAAAGGGTGGGCCAACTTAATATTGAATCCTACGGACTAAGACTGGGATGCCACTAAAGTTCATGTGTGTGTCAAGGCAGGCGTCCCAATACTTTTTGTAATATAGTGTATTTGGTGGTGCCATCTGCGGCCATTTCAGCACCCCCCACATTATATGGAGCTTCTCAGTCAGGAGTGCAGTGGGACTCTCTATTTGACTTGTGCTTAGGGAAGGAACATTGTAAGGTTTGAGCCTATTTACCTCCTCTGCCAGTATAGGTACATTTTATCACATTTCCCTCTTCTACTTGAATTCTAAGTGTATGATAGGAGATCAGGTTGGTGATTAGTCTCTAATAGCCCACTTATATCTATGGCCAGTTTCAAGTTAGGATACTGTTTCAAAATAACCAGCTGTAGAGAAGATTATATATAACCAATTTACAATTTTACCCCCATTCCTGGCAAGGGTATAATTTGCATCTAAGTAAATTACACCTTTACTTTGTCCTATACCTACTCGTTTCGCTACAAAAATCTTACTGAGAATAGAAAAGCAAATGCTACCGCTGTGCATCATGGGAGGTTTACTTTTTCGTCTCAGATATCTGTTACAATAGTATGAAGGGGGGCAACATGTACACAATCTTCTCTGTATGTATTCTGGTAGACAAAGACATTGATACAATGTAATAAGCATTTTCACTTACAGAAGGTAGCTGTAGTTTTACTATAAAGTGCACCATAGATTTAGCTCGCCCGACTCATTAGAATAGCAATTAGATATGTAGACATCAGACCTAGACCTAAAACTAAATTCTAGGCAGATATATAAGGCACAAACTAATGCAGCTCTTGAATCATTGATACATCACTAAATGTATTTGATAAATGTGAGCAATGTTAGTACCTACATTTGACCTGCTATCTGCCCTTTGCACTCCCTGTATGAATTGACAGATGAGCATGTTACTGTGCTGCTACTCCTTCCACTGTCCAGTCAGAAACTTGGGTGGGTCCAGGATTAACTGTACTAAGAGGACATTGGTTACATGATATTGGCCATCTGACTGAAAACATCTAGTGACAGAAAAAAATCACCAGAAAAATGTCTGGATTAAATGCCGAAAAGCCAGGCTACTCATTTTTATCTTGTTATTTTTAGGCGGAGTTCTGCTTTACCACACTTGTCACTGCCCCAGTCTTTGCAGGGCTGGGCAGTATTTACAGCTTAACTGGAGCCAAGTGCCTATGCTGTAGTGTTCATGTTTTGGCATCCGGTGATGTTAAAATCACTGCTCCTTTAAAATGGTATTGTTAAAAGTTTTTTTTTCATTGATTCGTGTCCCTCAGGACAATACCCAAATCCACATACACCTTTTTATGGCCAATAAATGGCATATAAGGCTTCAAAATGGGGACATTTGATTTTCTGCGTTATGGTCCCATAGACTTGCATTGAGTTCGAGTTCAAACTTTTCCCATTTTCTAAAGTTCAAATTCAAACCAAACGGGGGTGTTCGGCCCATCACTAGTCTACACCAACCTGGATGTTCCTAGCCTTAAACCTCTCTCCCTAAAGCTCTACAATAAAGTTTCTTTAACGATTTGGCCGAATTTCTAATATGCTATTTTCCAAAAGGAAAATTATATAGGGGAATCCGGTAAAGGTGGCAGTTGCAAATTTTTATGTGGCATCATATGTCGTAACTGTTTATTAAACCCATCATGAAAGTGAGCGTGCAGTGGTGGCTACTTTACAACACACACTGGGACCATGGGGAACAAAAGTAGACCCCCTCCAGAAGAAAGGACAGTGTCAGCACAAATTCAGAGATGATTAGAGGATCTACAGCCAAGTGATACAAAATGAGCTACATTTTTGTTAATATCTAGGGTATTCAAATGCATTTTTAAGATTTAACTTCTGAGTTTAGTGTCACCTTAGAGTTTTATAATTTCTGCTTGTTTTTCTTTCTTTGTAATGTTAGGAGGGGCTGTGAGCGGTGAGGGGTTAAAGGATTACATTCCTGGCTTGTCCATTGTATGCCATAAGTCACCCTATGTAAGAGCATTTTAGTGGTGACAGGTGCTCTTTAAGGGGACATTTGGGGTCTATTAGACCCCGAATGTCACCTTTGCAGCCCACTGAAGCTGAATAAGCACAGGTCATGTTTGATCAGCTTTTTCCTGGCCTCTCTCACCTGAAGTGATTAAATAATTTTCCAGTCCAGCTTTATTTAGCGGGGAGGAGATCAGCAAACGGATGTTGAACATCAGGCAGTGGGCAGATTCCATATCTAATAGACAGCCCAATTAGGCTCTGCCCACTGTCAGCGTCACTGGCTGCTAAGGACGCTTTCGGCTGTGTCCTTAAGAATCAGTGACAGTGAAAGTGGTCGGAGCTTGATGGGGATGCTCCCCATCAATTCCCCTCTTCTAATAATTGACCGCAGACAGCCGGTGGATTCCATAGCCAATAGCTTGTCTATTAAATAATCTAATAGGTAGTCTTATTGTCTACGGAATCTGCCCACTGCTTGCTGTCAGGGAGCAGACCTGATGGGGAATTACTCCCTCAGCTTCACCACTAGACACTGACAGGGGGTGGAGCCTGATGGGGACGCCAAGGGACTAGTTTCCCCATCAGGTTCTTTCTGCTAGTGATCGTTGACAGTAGACAGTAGACGGATTCCATAGCCAACAATATGCTCTCTATTGGCTATAGAATTCAACCTACTGGCTGCTGTCAGTAGGTTGAATTCTTGTCCTTCTCCTTCCCCATCAGGCTCTGCCCGCCCACTAGTAAAACTTGTGTTACATCACTGCTGTGGGACAGGTGCAGCAGCTGTGAAAGCAGTACTGGGGATGAAGTGCCCAGTTTAGACATTCTGACCTTGGTGAATCTCCGTGAATGTTGGTGCTTGTACCAAATTCATGTACCTGTTTCCAACAGGTACATGAGTCTGAGACAAGCACCACATTTTTCATGTGGATGCAACAAGGAATTCTAAAGTGTCATCTACTGCCTGCACCCTAATAACCAATGATGCTATGCGACCCAGGGACAGAACATGCACTCCACCATGCCTCCTTGTCTCTTTGCAATAAATCCATGTACATGTTTCTGACGGGTACATGAATCTATCTGACACACTGACATTTGTCATACAGAGGTTAGACCCACTTCTGAAGAGTGTCTGTGCCACTCTATGAATTCCAGGGAGAGTGTGAGTCTCTGGTAGTTTGACACCCCCTGTGCTCCAATCAACAATGCTGCTCAGGGAGCGTGTTACACTGTCTGTTTCTACATATGCTTGTAAATCATTTCATAGCCTACATTTACTAGAAACCAAGCTGAAGCTAAGCTTGAGACAATTTTGTTTGCTAAACTGCACAACTAGTTCCAACATTACCCAATTAATACATTTAAAATTGTAATGCTACTAAGAGACAGTAGAGGTCACCGTTAAATAAGGGAAGAAGAAGTATTGTGGCTGAACTTGTGCAGCATTTATAGATGAACTTGTGTAGCACATTATTTAAAATATTTTTGGATGAATGCATACAAATATATTTCCTCTGATGAAGGGAGAATAGGTATCCCTCAACACAAAGAGAACTAGTCAGGCATGGGTATTTGTAAGAATCTGAATTTCTGTTTTCAAATTATAATAGTATAGTCATAAGTCTCAGGGATAGGTAGGTGTATTGTGGTTATTTAGTTGTCAGATAACTGACGCATTCTCAAAGTTATTGATGGAGGGTAAACTAATACCATTTAACAAAGGTTGTTTTTTTTAATGTAGTCCTGACAGTGGCTTTATTTTATGTTTTCTGAGTGCTTAATGTTAACACTGTGCTCAGGCAGGGGATAAGATGACC